TGGGAGTCAGCTTTCTTGGAAGAGGGATTGGTTGCCTGGTGACAGCGCCTGGGCCTCTCCCGGGTGGGCTGAGCAGAAAGGGGAAGTGTGGTCAGGCTGGCACTCAGGCTTGGGGTGATGGGAAGGCCTGTGGGCGAGGAACCGCCTCTTCCCAGCTACACCCAAGCCATGGCACTCAGGGCCCTGCTGCCCCCTCAGCCGCTCACATCTGGACACCTTTACAGCTCAGGTAAGCACCTGGGTGTGTGTCAGTGTGAGTGACCGCCTGGGCTCGGCCCGGGATCGTGGGGAGTTGTAGCCTAGGCCCTGGGTAGGACCGCTGGGTGGGGTTGGAGAAACACTGGCCTTGGAGAATCTGCCCTGCTGGTGACTGGCTAGGTGACCTTGGCATTACTTCGCCTCCCTGGGCCTCCATCTCCTCGTGGGTACTGTGGGGCCATGAAGAGGCTACCTCTCAGGTTGAAATGACATAATGATTGGGAGAGAGACGTGTGTCTGTGAGGGGGTTGTTATCCGTCTGGATTCTGATGGCGAGTTTGGGTAACTGACCTGTGAGAGGACCCTGACTGGTCTGTGCTGGAGGAGGGGCTGGAGGCATTGACTGTATGAGCTTTGGGCTCCATCTTGAAGCCCTTGGATGAATGCCACCAGCCTTGGTGTCTATCACTGTGTCTCTGGCATTCGGGGATGTATCTATACGGCATTCTGCCTTCCAGAGGCCTCAGGTCAGGTGTGCTGGGTTGGGGTCAGGAGGAGACCTGCGTTTGGCTGTTCTTTATATTTCCACCTTCTCACGAATCACTTGACCCAAAAGCCACTCCCTTTCGTGACCCCTTTACACATGTGGCCTCTGAGGGAGCATGGAAGGTGGGGATTGCTGAGCTGGGAGCTTCTTTTCATTTTTTTAGAGCATCTTTTGTTTTTTCTTTCTGAAAATTAGATCCATAGGGGAAACAATGACCCCAAACCCCAGCACCTCCCAACAACCACAGTCAAGAATTTGCTCTCTTGCCTTCCAGCCTTTTTTCCCTCAGGTTTTGGAAAGTGATCCATGTTTTATTTTGATGTAAGGATACTTTAGACGTAGAAATACAGGCTTCATCGCTGTCATCAGGGCACAAGCATCCCTGATCCACTCCACCCACTTAATGTGACACTAGCATTCCTGCCAGAGAGCCCCTGGGTGACAGGTTCAAGTTTCTCTCCACATTCTTAGAGCCAAACAAATAAGAAAAAGAAATCAGCAGCAAGAGGCAATCTGCTTAGACCCAAGGAAGGACTTCTAGGGTGTAGAAATCCTGGGATAAACTTACTAGGAAGCATGAATGATCTGTAGCTCTGGAAGTGTCCACTAACACATCACCCCGAACATCCCAGAGGAACTGGAAAAATGACCTGTTTGGGAGCAGGAAGCAGAAGCTCTTATAAAATGTGATACCTAAATTTTTGAAAATGTGTTTATGGCTGGCGGCAAGGCTGGATGGGAGGGAAAGAAAGAATCCTACTCTTACACTAAATAATCAAAATCATTCTTCTGTATTTCCTCCCTGACATTTCCAGCCACATTCTCAGGTAATGCTGGGAGATGTGGCTACAGTATAGACACAAGTCAGTATTCTGCTTTTTTCATCTTATGTGGTTTCCCAATAACTCATAATGTGTTCTTCCTAACGATCCCTTGATTGCAGCATCCTATCCCATCAAGTGGCCAGAGTGTCGTTTTCTCCCCAAGCACCCCCTGTTGGACTGCTGCGAAGCTCCCTGTTTATCTCTACAGAGATGGTGCACATGGTTACCCTGTTAGATTTTGACTTCCTTCAGATCACTTCTTAGGCTAGGTTTCTAGAAATGGTATTATGGAATCAAAAGATGTGATCATTTTATAAATGTATTTCTATTTTCTTCCCCCCCCCAAATTTTTGTAATTGATGTATACAACCTCTGGCCCTATGGGAGGATCTGTTCTGCTAGGGTAAGATTTTATGATATGTTTCATTTTTGCTAGCAAATAGAGGTAATTTCTAACTGTGGCCAGGGGAGCAAGAAACTGTAATGAGTCAGCTTGCACGAACAGAGTCAAGCCCCAAAATGAAATAAATCAGACAACAGGATTACTCTGAGGGCTAGTGTGATGAGCTGTTACACTGAAGGAAGCACATGCGATCAGCCTGGCTCTGCACTGCCAAAAAGGAGATGTTTGGCTCACCTTCTGCTTCCTCTGCCTAGGTCTTAAATGTACAGTTCCATACATTTGACAGTTGCCTGACAAGATGTAGTTCTGAGACTCATAGTCAGACTTTCCCAGAAATGCGAGGACAGAGAGAAGGAGAAGAGAGGCCGGACTCCTTTTACTACACTGCCCTGCCCCTCCTCAGGCGCACTCGGGTTTTTAAGTTGCCATCAACTCTCTACGTGGCCATTCCTGGTGCTGACATCAGCGAGGAGGTCAGGAGGTCAGGCGGGAACTTGGCCTCACGGAGCATGGGCAGTGACAGTCTGGGAACTAGAGCTGAATTCAGGCAAGCGCTGCTTATGCTGGCTTGCAAGTGTAGCCTCAGGATTATCTACAGTCTCCCGGACCCTTGAGATCTAGGTAGAGAGCAGCTCAAACCCTCATTCCACATCCTGCGAAGTCCAAAGCCTTCCTGAAGACTTCCATGGGTTTCCCAGGAGATCCCCTCTTGCCTGTGGGTAGCCCTCGCTCCGAGCCCCTATAGGTGAGCCACTGACCCCGGGGTGAAACTTGGCTTCCTTGCTTCCCCACATCACCCTAACAAAACAAAACTGCTCACAACACACTGGCAGATGCAGTAAAACTTATGAAAGATTGGATGGGGCCTCAGGAGAGGTTTCTCATGCAGCAACACAAACCACTGGAAACTGGCATGCTACAGCCCTGTTCTTGACCCTCTGGCTGCTCCACCCCTGAGCACCCTCCAGGAGCTGCTTCTCCTGCTGGCTCCCCTTCCTCCCCTCCTCCCGTTTCTTCTCATCCCCTTCCCCAGCATAACTCCAAATCCCCCCACACCCCAATACCTAGAGTATTTAACAGTCCCTATCTCCTACCAGGAGACTTCATTCCCTGCCCCACCTGCTAAGTGCTGGAAAGGCAGCTCATTCTAGCTTTTATTTTTACTCTTTTAATGAGCTATAATTCTAACTAAAGTGCCTAGGTCTTAAATGTACAGTTCCATACGTTTGACAATTGCCTGACAAGATGCAGACATCTCCGTCATTCCTGAAAGTTCCCTGGGGCCCCTTTGCAGTCAGGCCCTTTCTGCCCCCATTGAAACCACTATTCTGGTTTCTATCGCAGTAGTTCAGTCTGTTCTTGAACTTCATGTAGAGACTCATACAGGGTATACTCTTTTATTTGTTCAGGATTTTTCTGGTGGGGGTGGGTTTATTTATTTACTTATTTATTTTTTAGCAGAGGTACTGGGTAACAGAGCACCTCGTGCGCGCTATGCATGAACCCTACCACTGAGCGATACCCTCCCCCATGCGCTTTTACAGTTGGCTTCTTTCACTTAACGTTGTCAGGATTCACCTATATTGTTGTGTGTATCAGGAACTCATTTTTTAAAAATTTCTGCGTAGCATTTCGTTATATGACAATACCAGACCACGTATCCATTCTTCTGTTGAATTCCATTCTGTTTTTACACAGTTTTACAATTTTTTGAGCTGACATCAGTAAGTCCAACATGCCCAGATGGCAATCCTAAGAATCTTAGTGTGAGCTGTGGCGGGGGGTAGTGGGGTGCCGGCAGGAATTTCAGCTGGGGGCCAAAATTAAAATAGAAGGGAAAAAAAGATGAAATTAAGTTTAGTAATACCTTTTACTTATCCCATTATATCCAAAATATGACCATTTCCACATGTCATCGATATAAATACTTGTTAATGAGAGCTTTTATGTTCTTCTTTCTATACTAAGTCTATACTAAGGACAGCATATCTCAGCTCCGATCAGCCAACTAGCAAGTGCTCAGTGGAGTAGCCTCGTGGGGCCAGTGGCTGCTGTCTTGGGCAGTGCAGACCTCAGGTAGAGGGATTTGTGTCCAGGGCCACAAAGCCCTTACTGGCAGAGAGCAAGGGGCTGGATTCATAGTCAGACCTCCCCATCTTCCTGCTGAGTTGTCTGCAAATCTTCTGCCTCTTCCCACAGAGATTTTCTGAAGACTCTTCCAACTCCTACTTTCTGAAACTTTAAGCAATGCCCCCCCCCAGCCAACAAATGCATCCTTACCCACACCTTTTGGGACTATTTCAGATCATTTATTTTTCACAAGAAGAATTCAAGTTGTCAATACACAGGGTCTAACCATTAGTGGGTTTTGAAATAAACTCAGGACTTTTTCTTGTGAAATGGGCTAGAATAGGTGTGAAAATGGTGGTTGGAGTGTATCACATGTAAAGACATTTTGTGAAACATGTTTTATTTATGAGAATATATGTGTAGCTGTCAACCTGCAAACTGTGTATCTTACCCTGAGGATCTTGGTTTAAAAAAACAAACAAACCAATTTCTGAATAAACCCACAGTCTCCGAGATTCCCGGTGATGGACAGTGACTATGATTTCTGTCA